TCCTATAGCTGCCCATAGTTTCCAAATGGGACTTTGCTTGAAACTTTTTTTTTTTCTAATCCGAGCTTTACTGAAGCTTTTACAAGCGTGGGACGTCGCGCGTACAAATAATGAAAGCTGACAGCGAGCTTGAGGAAAGGAACTAAAAAGCCTGCGTCAAAATATATTCAATTAGTGAATAAAAGATATTGCTGATACTTTTATTTTTTCTAAAAAAAAAAACAAAAGTTGTCGGGGGGAGGGGTTGGGGGTGGATTTTGTCAACGGTTTCATAGACACAACAGTGGAAGGATGCAGCACAGTAAACATTTTGGTGACGGAAAACGTACTATCCCACATGGAAGAAAAATGTATTTGAAATACATTTTAAAAATATTATTCCCAAACATATTGACATATATTTGAAATACTACAGTTTTGGCCGTATTCAATATATTTAAAAAAAAATAAAATAAAAAAAAAAAATATATATATATATATAGATATATATAGATATATAGATATATATAGATATATACATGTGTGTGTGTGTATATATATATATATATGTGTGTGTGTGTATATATGTGTATATATATGTGTATAATTTATATATATATACACACACACACATATATATATATATAAATATACACACTTTTTTTATTATATATATCTTGTAATATATAAAAACACATTTCAACATGCAGTATATATACAGTGGGGCAAAAAAACTTGTATTTAGTCACCACACCAATTGTGCAAGTTCTCCCACTTACAAAGATGAGAGAGGCCTGTAATTGGCATCATAGGGAGACCTCAACTATGAGAGACAAAATGAGAAAACAAATCCAGACAATCCCATTGGCTGATCTGGAAAGAATTTCTGATTTGCAAATTATGGTGGAAAATAAGTATTTGGTGAATATGAAAAGTTCATGTCAATACTTTGTTATATATCCTTTGTTGGCAATGACAGAGGTCAGACGTTTCCTGGAAGTCTTCACAAGGTATTGGCACACACTGTTGCTGGTATGTTGGCCCATCCTCCATGCAGATCTCCTCTAGAGCAGTGATGTTTTGGGGGCTGTCGCTGGGCAACACGGACTTTTCAACTCCCTCCAAAGGTTTTTGTTTCTATGGGGTTGAGATCTGGAGACTGGCTAGGCCACTCCAGGACCTTGAAATGCTTCTTACGAAGCCACTCCTTCGTTGCCCGGAACCGGGCGGTATGTTGGGATCATTGTCATGTTGGAAGACCCCAGCCACGTTTCATCTTCAATGCCCTTGCTGATGGAAGGAGGTTTGCAACTCAAAATCTCACAATACAATGGCCCCATTCATTCTGTCCTGTACATGGATCAGTCGTCCTGGTCCCTTTGCGGAGAAAACAGCCCCAAAGCATTATGTTGCCACCCCAATGCTTCACAGTAGGTATGGTGGTGTTCTTTGGATGCAACTCAGCATTCTCTCTCCTCCAAACATGACGAGTTGTGTTTCCACCAAACAGTTCTATTTTGGTTTCATGTGACCATATGACATTCTCCCAATCCTCTTCTGGATCATCCAAATGCTCTCTAGCAAACTTCAGACGGCCCGGACATGTACTGGCTTAAGCAGGGGGACACGTCTGGCACTGCAGGATCTGAGTCCCTGGCGTCGTAGTGTGTTACTGATGGTAGCCTTTGTTACGTTGGTCCCAGCTCTCTGCAGGTCATTCACTAGTCCCCCCCCCCCCCCCCCGTGTGGTCCTGGGAGTTTTGCTCACCGTTCTTGTGATCATTTTGACCCCACGGGGTGAGATCTTGCATGGGAGCCCCAGATCGAGGGGAGATTATCGGTGGTCTTGTATGTCTTCCATTTTCTAATTATTGCTCCCACAGTTGATTTGTTCACACCAAGCTGCTTGCCTATTGCAGATTCAGTCTTTCCCAGCCTGGTGCAGGTCTACAATCTTGTTTCTGGTGTCCTTCGACAGTTCTTTGGTCTTCACCATAGTGGAGTTTGGAGTGTGACTGTTTTGAGGTTGTGGACAGGTGTCTTTTATATACTGATAAACAAGTTCAAACAGGTGCCATTGATACAGGTAATGAGTGCAGGACAGAGGAGCTCTTAAAGAAGAAGGTACAGGTCTGTGAGAGCCAGAAATCTTGCTTGTTTGTAGGTGACCAAATACTTATTTTCCACCATAATTTTCAAAATAAATTCTTTCCAGATCAGCCAATGTGATTGTCTGGATTTGTTTTCTCATTTTGTCTCTCATAGTTGAGGTCTCCCTATGATGCCAATTACAGGCCTCTCTCATCTTTGTAAGTGAGAGAACTTGCACAATTGGTGGCTGACTACTTTTTTTGCCCCACACTGTATATATATATATACACACACACACATATATATATTGCATGTAAATATTTTAAAAAATGTATATTTTTTTAAAATATATTCTTCAGATTTTTTTTTTACCATATAAGAAAGTCATTTTTAACACATATATTTTTACATATATTTGTAAATACATTCCAAAAATGTAGATTAAATGTATTTTTAAAGACACAGTATATTTGAAAATTTATTTTTAAAAATGTTTTTCAAATATTTTGTAATAAAAAACGCATTTAACATTTCAACATACAGTATATATATAAAAGTCAGATTTCAGGCATCCCCTGCAACAAAAATTTCATTTTTGGTGAGATACTCCGAAATCACGTCTGAGTCTACGTTCACACTTATGCGTTTTTTCCGTTGTATTTTGCAGAAACGCAGTACAGTCCCATTTAACATGATTTTCTATGGGACAGGTTCACATTTGCTCGTTTTTCACCTGGTATGTGCTTTGGAAAGGGTCAGGGACTTTCTTAAGCGCAAAACCTTGGTTCTATAGACTTCAGTGAAGACGCTGCACAAAAGCATGTAGTGCGTTTTTGAGGCGTTTCGAGTTCTAAAGTTTTAATCTGCCCAGCAACAAGTTGGAGTAAAAAAAAAAAAACGCAAAATGTATCAAAAACACAAAATGCACCGAAAAAAGCACTGCAGAAATGGATCAAATGCAAACTGCATAGATGTGAACCTAGCCTAAAGGATGCAGTCCCTACCACTTTCCTCATTACAGCCTTACCGGTGCAGCAGCTGACTGATAATTATGAAACCACTCCCATTAGATCCCGGGTCTCCAAACTTTCTAAGTAAAGGGCCAGTTTACTGTCCTACAGACTTTAGGAGGGCCGGATCGTAAAATGTCCTGGCATCAGTGGGAGTAAACAATGCCCCATCTTTGGTGTTAGTGAGAGGAATTGTGCCCCATCGATGGTGTCTATGGGAGAAATTGTGACCCATCATTGGTGTCATTGGGCCCCATTCTTGGTATCACTGAGATAAACTGTGACACATTGTTGGTGTCATTGGTGGGAATTGCGCCTCCAACATTGGTATCATTGGGAGGAATTCACTGGTGTGAATGGATTAAATAGTGCCCCAAGGGCCAGATAAAAGCAAGCAAAGGGCCGCATCCAGCCCCCGGGGCCGCAGTTTGGAGACCACTGCATTAGATTCATTGTCCACATGGACAGAGACAAACAAATAGCTCTTTCTTCAGAATAACAAAAGTTAGGACTCTGGCACAAAGTTTGTTAAAATCCTTCCAAAGTACACAGATCACCCGGGAAGGGGGGGGATGTATTTTTTCTCAACAAAAGTGGAGTTACACTGTAAGTCCTTGTTTCCATCTCTAACTATCCCTCCCCCCGTCTGTTGATGTATGCATTGATTATGAACCAAATGAGTTGTTTACAATCTGAATGGATTATATTTGGCAACCATTTCTATAAACCTTGGCAAAGGAAATGAGTTCTTCAAAGAACGCAGATTCGGAGGTAGAACAGGAGAGGGAAGAAATGAGCGCCGCTGCTTGACAAGACAGCTTACAGTTCATTGGCAGCAGAGATTACAGTCCGTCCATGTCATAAAAGCTGCACAGTGGTCCTCATACCTACTTGGCTCTTTGTCAGCTGGCACAAACCAGCACACTTACACGTACAGGTTGGAAGCCTTCCCAAGGGCATTGGCTGAATCATCTCACTTTCCCCCCTAAGGACATCAGATGCTTTGCTCAATGATACTTGCGGTCAATCTGGCTATTGCCAACATGGATCACTTCATCCATTCCTCCACTGCCCAAAGCGTACAACTGCCTGCTTCTTCTATGCTCAGCCTCTTCCAATCTAGCATTTCACGTAGAACTCTGGAAGGGTTACAGGCATGATAAACCTTGCTTGGCCAGACCATGCAGTAGCATCATGTAACCTGTGCTGAGGGTGGGGGAGCTATTAAGGACTAAACCACCTCAAGTCCATGTATGCCAACAACTTTTGGATTTGGTGGTCCATGGGGTTCAGTCACAAAAGGTTGGTTGAAGACCTTTGGGGCAACTCAGTGTCCACCTGGGGAGGCAGGAGAGCCCTTATAATGTAGTGACTCAAAATAAGATCATTACCTCAAAACGAAAAACAAAATGCCTCAAGAGAGGAATATGACTTGCGTATGCTGAGGTTGTGGTGACCCTAAAAGGGTGGATGCATGCAACCTTCCATGAACGTAGGTGGAGAATAACTTGTCTCTACGCAAGATGGCAAAGGTTGTTCTCAATGCCATGGGGGTCCCAATCCTGGACCTAAGTAGGGTTCTCAGGTGGGTGCTGAATCAAGGAAAGTAGGAAGACATACTGTATATGGCGCCCATCATCTTGGTTGATTGAACATCAAATAGCTTTATTGCATGTCACCAAGTTGACACTCTACGCCCAGTTGCCCTGAGGACAGAGCAGAGGATGCCTGTTATTTGATCTGAAGCTCTATGCTGACTACTTGGAAACACACCTAGGAAATAGGAGCAGAAGAATGAGAATTCTAGGAGAAATGTGTTGTGTAGAATTCTATCTATCTATCTATCTATCTTTTAGGATTTTACCAGTCACAAGAGGTACAGTATATGCACTTATTTGTGGTTTTTGCTTCTCCTTCCAGCTGTGAGCGCAGACAGAAACGTAGGCGCAACCGCAATGAGCGCTGTGCTTTACCGGAAGAAGGAAGCCTGCAGCCCCTGACCGACTTGTCACCCGACTCTGACATCCCTGGGCTCCATCCATTAAAACTTGGTGACTTCAACAAAAGTGGCCTGGATGAAAGAAGTGTTCCCTGCAGAACAAGCAAGTAAGTCAAGCAGCCTTATTCCATACACAATACAAGGAGCAAACTAAGGTCTACCTAGTGAAAATGAGAGCATTCTAACACAGAACTATGGTCTCCCACCAAAGCTAAACTCCAGGAACTATTTGTATTGCATACAGTATGTGTATTGGACCACCTTGGACCAATGTAAGTAGGCGTATCTTATACCTGATGGGCCTCTGATAAAGCTTGAAATCAGTGTAGTAGTCCACACTACTACAATGATAGCTGTGATCTTCCAGGTCATGCTCATGTTCTATGCCAAGGGTCTCCAAACTTTCTAGACAAAGGGCCAGTATACTGTCCATTAGATTTCAGGGGGCCAGACTGTGGCCAGTAGGAGTAGAATATGTATTGGTGTCAGTAGGAGTAAACAATACCCCGGGCTTTTTGATCAGTGGGAAATGTCAAAGCGCCTGTGGTCAGTAGAAGGAGGAATGGTGCCCCATCTTTGGTATTAGTGTGATGAATAGTGCTCCAACATTGGTTTTAGGAGGAATAGTGCCCCATCATTGGTATCAGTGGGAGGAATAGTGCCCCATCATTTTTATCAGTGGGAGGAATAGTGCCCCATCATTGGTGTCAGTGGGGAGAATAGTGCCCCATCATTGGTATCAGTGGGAAAAATAGTGCCCCATCATTGGTATCAGTGGGAAAAATAGTGCCCCATCATTGGTATCAGTGGGAGGAATAGTGCCCCATCATTGGTATCAGTGGGAGGAATAGTGTCCCATCATTGGTGTCAGTGGGGAGAATAGTGCCCCATCATTGGTATCAGTGGGAAAAATAGTGCCCCATCATTGGTATCAGTGGGAGGAATAGTGCCCATCATTGGTATCAGTGGGAGGAGTGCCCCATCATTGGTATCAGTGGGAGGAATAGTGTCCCATCATTGGTGTCAGTAGGAATCAGTGGAATTGGAAGGAATAGTGCCCCATCATTGGTATCAGTGGGAGGAATAGTGCCCCATCATTGGTATCAGTGGGAGGAATAGTGCCCCATCATTGGTGTCAGTGGGAGGAATAGTGCCCCATCATTAGTATCAGTGAGAGACAAAGTACCCATCATTAGCAGTAGTGGGAAGAATAGTGCCTCATCCTTGGTACCAGTTGGAGGAACAGTGACCCATCATTGGTACCAGTAGGAGGAATAGTGCCTCATCAATAGTATCAGTGGGAGGAATAGTGCCTCATCAATAGTATCAGTGGGAGGAACAGTGCCTTACCATTGGTACCAGTAGGAAGAATAGTGCCATGTATGAGTGCTCCACTGTTGGTGTCAATTAGAAGAATTAACCCCAATGTTGGTATCAGTAGGAGGAAGAGTTCCATGTATAAGTGGGAGAAATAGTGTCACAAGTGGATAAAGGTAAAGTAAGGCTGGCCATACATTATACAATTATCTTACAATTTTCTGCCCAATTTTCTTTAGATTTACCTTCAACTGTGTAGTACAAGGGCCTGCCTAATTGGATACAACTGAAAGTGTTGTTTAGGTTTGTCCTCCTATTATATGGTTTTTGGTAAATCTAAACCAAAAATCTCCAGATAATTGTATAATGTATGGCCAGCCTAAAGGGCTGCAGTTTGGAGACCACTGTACTATGTGAGTAGCTGCCCCACTGCATACTGACTACAAAGGGTCGCACCGCTGCCATTCATAGAATGCCTTGCATTTTTTTCAATGAATACAAGGCATTCTCTGATTGGACAAGTTTGAGATCATGACCTCACCTCATCCAGACCTAGCATCAATTATATTGTTGTTTTCACTAAATTAGGAAGTTTTAAAACCCTTATAGGGCTATTATTTTTTTAGTTGGAGAGATTTCCCTTCACATCCTGTCCTGGAGACACAACAGGAAAGTCAACGGAATTCCCATCTTGGAGAGTTGCCACAGCAACAATTGTCACCATTGGGGTTAAATGTAAAGAACTTAATGAAAAAGTACTTTTATTTAACAGACAACGTTCCTGATCAGCGCTGCAGCCAATTAGGAGAGAGCGTTCTTGATTAGTGCTCCTTTAAATTGGGAAGTGACACATGGCTCTATGTTCAAGCAACGTGTCTCTATGCTTTAGGCCAAACCCCCCTTGCTGCAGATCTGTACCTGTATTCTTGTGCTTTCTCTGTCTTCCATGCCAGTCTTCAGCTTCTAGATACCCTGTTACTTCTGCTGTGCCCCATGACTCCAGTGCTCCACAAAGCATTCTATGCCATCTATTCATCCTACTGTTCCCTTGTGTGTCCCATGACTCCAATGCTCCACAAAGCATCCTGTATCACCCAGTGACTGCAGTGTGCCCTGTAACTTCGGGTGCACCCCATGACTCCAGTGCACCCCAAAGCATCCTGTGTCATCTAAGCTCACCCTTGTGCATCCCATGACAGCATGTGCTCCCCAGAGCATCCTGTGTACCCAGTGACTCTATGTGCACCGCAGAGCATCCTGCATCATCCAGTGACCCCAGAGGACCCTGTGTTATCTAGTGACCCCAGAAGATCCTGTGTCATTTAATGACAGTGAGGCCCTGTGACTCCAAGTGTGCCCTGGAGAACCCAGTGACATCTGAAGACCTTCAGTGCACCCTTATGTGTGCCCTGTGTCATTTACCAACTCCAGTGGACCCCTGAACATCCTGTTCTCTAGTGACCCTAGTTTGCCCCTGTGCCTCCTGTGACACCAAGTGCTCCTCAGAGCATCCTATGCTATCTAGTGACTCCAGAGCACCCCTATGTGCCCGGTGACTCTAAGGACACCCCCAAGCATCTTCTATCCTCTAGTAACTTCCATGTGCCTTATGACTTTGGTGTACCCCAGAGTATTCTGTGTCATCTAGTGATTCCAGTGTGCCCCTGTGGCTGCAGTGCACCCCTGAGTATTTTGTGTCATTTAGTGACCCAGTTCACCCCTGTGCATCCCATGACTCCAAGTGCTCCCCAGAGGGGAGTTATCTAGTGATTCCGGTGCTCCTTAGGGCATCCTGTGTAATCTAATGACTTCAGGGCACTCCTGTGTACCCCTTGACTCCATGTGCACCCCAAAGCATCCTGTGTCATCTAATGACCCCAGCTCACCCTCGTGCTTACCATGACGTGCTCTCCAGAGCATCCTGTGTACCCAGTAAATCTATGTGCACCCCAGAGCATCCTGCATCGTCCAGTGATCCAGAGGATCCTGCGTTATCTAGTGACCCCAGAGGATCCTGTGTCATCTAGTGACCCCAGAGGATCCAGAGTCATCTAGAGACCCCAGGAGGTCCTGTGCCCGTTGACTCCAAGGACACCCCCAAGCATCTTCTGTCTTCTAGTAACTTCCATGTGCTTCATGACTTCGGTGTACCCCAGAGCATTCTGTGTCATCTAGTGACTCCAGTGTGCACCCCTGAGTTCTTGTGTCATTTAGTGACCCAGTTCACCCCTTGACTCCAAGTGCTCCCCGAGGGGAGTTATCTAGTGACTCCAGTGCTCCTTAGGGCATCCTGTGTAATCTACTGACTTTAGGGCACTCCTGTGTACCCCCTGACTCCATGTGCACCCCAAAGCATTCTGTCAGCTCACCCTTGTGCATACCATGACAACATGTGCTCTCCAGAGCATTCTGTGTCCTCTAGTGACTCAAGGACACCTTGGGGGCATCCTGTGCCATCTAGTGACTTCAAGTGAGCCCTGGGTCTCCACATGTACCCCAGTGAGTCCTCAATGACACCTAGTGCATCCTTTTGTCCTTGGTGACACCTGTGTCTCTATGCAGGCTATAATACGCTTCTACATCTTCTGGACAAATCTTCTCTCAGTGGATACAGACCTCTGTCCATGACAGCAGCGCTGTATATAAGCCACTGTAATTAATATTGATCTGAAATTGGAAAGTATCTTGAGCACCTTGTATGTCTAAGGATTCACACTCTCTATTAGAAAACACAAACCTTGCCTGCGCCTCTCAACATTCTGTCTCTGTACTGTGCAAAAATAATCAATATGATCTGTAATCTCTCCGCACCTGGGTACTCAGTATTACAAACCACCGAGCCTCTGCACTGTGACACTGCCCCCCTGTGGACAACAGCGTGCCATCTCTCCAGGCAAACATACACCCACCGGCCACTTTATTAGGTACACCTTGCTAGTACCGGGTTGGACACCCTTTGCCTTCAGGACTGCATTCATTCTTCAAGGCGTATATTCAACAAGGTGTTGGAAATATTCCTCAGAGATTTTGTCCATATTGACATGAGTTACTGTTGCCTTTTTATTATCTCGAACCAGTCTACCCATTCTCCTCTGACCTCAACAAGGCTGTTTCGTCCACACAACTGCCACTCACTGGATATTTTCCCTTTTCTGGACTATTCTCTGTAAACCCTAGGGATGGTTGTGCGTGAAAATCCCAGTAGATCAGCAGTTTGTGAAATACTCGGACCAGCCTGTCTGGCACCAACAACCATGCCACGTTCCGAGTGACTTAAATCCCCTTTATTCCCCATTCTGATGCTCGGTTTGATCTTCACCAAGTCGTCTTACACGTCTAGATGCCTAAATGCACTGTGTTGCTGCCATGTGATTGGCTGATTAGCAATTTGTGTTAGCAAGCTATTGAACAGGTGGACCTAATAAAGTGGCGGTGAGGATAGACTGTCACACCTCGTACCTGCAGTCTCTGACAAATGTCTGTAGCATTACATATACTAAATTGAACAAGTGTTGAGCAATTGAACAAGTGTACCTAATAAAGTGGCTGGTGAGTGTAAAAGGGACATTTTGTTTCATAGAATTATTGGATTTTGAAGTAGAACGCTGGGCAATCAGCTAAATACACTGATAAAATACACATATGGGAGCTGCAGGAAGGAGAGCGTTCATCCTACAGTGAAACTCCTGGAGTGGAAGCCCTGAGACTCAAACCAAGTGAAGTATGCATTCCATATCAAGAAGTAGACTTATCATAGCTGTCAGCATCATAGGAATCACATCTGGTTCCTT